AAATCACCAAAAATCAAGAAAAACAGAAAAATCGGTGTGCGCTACAATTTATAGTGAAGGACCCCTCGGTGATGGCAGGACGATACTCACCCCTGACGCCCGCGCACACCGTGCTGCACTCGGTCAGCGAGTGGAAGTTGTTGCGGTTGCCCCTGCAGCCGCCGTAGCCGAACGGCCGGCACTGGCGGGCCTCCCGGTCGAAGTACCAGCGCTCGAAGTAGGCACGGCACGGACCGGGCTCCTCGGCCTGCAGGCAAGCCTCTGGCGAAACGGACGAAAGGAATCTCGAGACATTATTTCAGCGGGCGGAATAAGAGGGGGTGGTGGCGGAAAACGAGGGGAGGGTGCATCAGGACGGCGACACAGCAAATGGAGTTTAATTTCGTCCCACTGAGCGCGCGCGCACACCCCCAGACGAAAGCGGGACGAAAATGAGGAAGATAGAACAAAGCAAGTCCCCGGCATCCAGCCGCCGCCCGCGCCGCCCGCCCCACCCCGTCACAGCACGGCCTGTACTGCTGGCGCTGGGCGCCGGCGAGGTAGGCAGCCCATCGGGCGCCGGGGTGCGAACGGCTGCTGCACGTGCTGCACCAACGGCTCGGATGGAAGTAAACTCACAGCCGGGCCGTCATGGAGAGGGAAGGAGGGGAAAAAGAAAAACAGCCCAGATGGAAGTTGGGCCGAGGGCTGCGCGCTGCGCAATCTTGGAGACAAACACGCCCAAGGTACGAGACTGTCGTCGGGCGAGGTCCCGCGTGGGTAGAGTGAAGAAGCTGCGTCGAGTACCGAAGGACGGAACGGAAAATTGGTTCTGCGTATATGAGGAACGGAGCTAAACCCATTCGCGTAAAATGTGCGACGGCTCCAATTAAACTAGGTTGAATTATTACGTTTCGGGATATTTAACATTTTTGTATAACAATACGGTTACACTGTCACGTCGTGACGCTCTAGCAAAGGCTCGACTCATGCGATTGCTAGGATGGAACCGAGCCGTCTTTTCCAAGCGTTGGCGCAAAGTGGTGAAGTTTTCCTGGCGCAAGGGGCGGTTCCGTTCCTCATTAACGCATTGCCTCCCCCCCTCCCTCCCCCAGGCCTTTTATCCGTGAGCAACGGTAGGCGCGGCGCTAGTGGCACCACCTGGAGGAGGACTAGAGATGAGTCCCCCAAACGTGCAGCTCTCAAGCCGTCACGGGCGCATGCCCCCCCCCCCCCCGGGCCCAGCTGTGCTATGCAGGCGGCCGTGCTGCGCGCTGCGAACCACTGACTGACATGGAGCTCGGATTCCAGAGCTGCACGCGACTGCTCGACAGCGTGTAGTGCGGAGCGCTGCATTCCGCGACGAAATGCGGCCTGGTTGGTGGCAGCGTGTTATTCGAGTCTGATAGTATAGTGGTTGAATGAAAGACATTTCATTTAATTCAACGAAAATTTCGCGCCAGAAACCAACGAAAACTTTTTCGTTCATACAACGAAAAGATTTCTTGTGCAGAACGAAATTTTTGTCAGATTGAACTAATTTTGTTTGAGCTAAAGAAATTTTTTCTTCTATAAACAACGAAAATATCGTCAGTTCGTGATTTCGTTAAGTCCAAGTTACGGTCTTCTGGGTGTGGTAGTACACCAAAAATTTGGATCGTGTTTTGGTCGTTGCCCTGAAAGATACTGTTCGAACAGAAGTAGAAACACGCACCCTCAGCGTCCGCGACGGAGATGATGCAGGACTCCTTGATGGAGCAGGGCCTCTCCTCGCTCAGGGTGTGGTACCGGGCGCAGCGCTCCCGCAGGTCCTCGTCGGCCACGAGCACGAGGCGCGAGCGGAACTTGCGGCCCGAGCCGCAGGACACGGAGCAAGGCGACCAGTCGGACCAGTCCGTCAGCCGGCAGTTGGGGTCCACCTGCGGGCGGGACAGGACACTGTGCTGAGTGGAGGAGAGCAGGGCGCAGCAGGCCGGTGGGGGTGGCCACCATGTGGCCAAGCTGCGAGGACTCACCGGCACGGTGTCCACGCACGGCGGCTGCGAGCACTTCCTCTTCTCCGTCAGCTCGATGAAGGGGCACTTCTTGAGGCCGAGGCGATCCTCGAAGCGGCGTGACCGCACCTCGGACCCTGGTCCGCATGACGACGAGCACTCGGACCACGGTCCCCACGGCGTGACGGCGCAGTTGGTCTGCTCCGCCGCGTCCAGCTCCTCGGCGTCACCCCTGCGAGGCGAAGATGACCCCGTTTGGAGACAGTGCGCGAGTGCGCGGAGCGCCCACGCTGCCCCACGGCTCCCCGGAGAGTCCCCTTGCCCCGTCCCCCCTGTCATTGGGGCCAATGCTTGCGCGGCGAACGTGACCGAGCGGACTAGCGATCGGTATTACCGGCCCAAAAGTGACCATCCCCACAGACTGCGCGCGCCGAAAGTCTATTCCTATAGTTACTGTTATTTCCCCCTTTTTCTACTTACGGGCAGGACGGCTCGTGGGCCACGCACATCTCCTTCTGGACCAGTTGCTTGTCGCAGCCCAGCATCTGCGCCTTGGCGTCCATCTGGTAGTTGCGGGTGCGCATGCGCAGGCCCTTGCCGCACGACACGGAGCACGGCGACCACGGCGTCCACTCGTCCACGCGGCACTCGGCTGCACAGCACAGGGCGTAAGCGTCGGGTCAAGGGTGGGGTCGACGGGATCGACGGGATAGTGTTCAGACTGGATCGACCAGGGCAAGAAAATGGAGGGAAGGGGCAGGGACAGTGGGTGTGTGTAGGGGGAGGGGAGGCGGGAAGCCAGCGAGGGGTACTCACTTTTTTCAAAAATAAAAGGTACCCCCCCCCCAAAAAAAAATCATAGAAAATTTGAAAAATAATCAGCAAAATTAAAACAAAAACAGAAAACTCGGTTTACGATTGCGGTCAGTTCAGGACGCATCAGAGGCAGTCGGTGTTTCGCGAAGAGTGCGCTAGTATTTTACTCACGCCGCTCGCCGTCGTCCTTGGTCTCGATGTCCTCGAAGACGGTCTGCTCCACGATGTCATCGTCGTCGTCCCCGCAGGGCTTGCTGGTGACGGCCTCCCGGGTGATGTAGAGCCTCGCCAGGGGCTGCATGGGCGCCCCGGATGGGTCGTAGAACGGCGCGCGAGGGTCCTCGGGGTACATGGTGGTGATGCGGTACATCTCCTCCCGGGGGACGGTGGGCGCGTTGGGCGACTGGCGAATTAAAAACACAGAGTGACTGTGCAACCAAGCAGTAACCGACCTGACGCGGCCCGCCCCGGCCCTGCTGCTGCCGGGAGTTTCGAATAGTTCTCCGGAGAATGTTAATTTACTCCAGATTAGGAAGTTTCGGCCGGCGAGAACTAGCGCAGGGAGGCAAAGGACTACTGGCGCCCGTCTTCGAGGCCCTGCCTGAAATATACCTGCTGAAACGTTTTACAAAAAATGCACGACGCACTCACCATGTATGTGATGCCGCTGTCTGTGCCGGCGTCGATGGGGTAAAGGTCGATGACCTTGCTCTCCAGCCAAGAGCAGTCCGCCTGGCAGAGGTTGAGTCCCGAGACACCCACCACCCAATCTGGGGATGGCCCTGCGGAGCACAACCAAGTCCCATTACTGGCCGGGGGGGATGAGCGCGTGCCCCAGGACGTGTCCAGGACGCGTCCAGGTCATGTCCTCTGGACGGGCCACCCGAGACGCCTCAAGGCCACGCTGGGCTCCGAGTGTCTGGTCGGTCTGTAGTGAATCTGCGCTTTAAACCCGCAACTCTGATCCACCTAACACTTTGGAAATTAATATATAGTCCTGCTGGCAAACCTCCATCAGCGTGTCCCCTCCTCTGAAACTCTCCCCCGTGCAGACCGATTCCGATTATAACACTGTTTCGGTGAGAGTCTTTCCCTTCACTTTCGCGCCAAAACAGATCACCATCAGCAGTTTTACGCGCCACCTCGACTGATGTGCCGGGCAGTGTTCCAATCTGGCGTGTCATGGCGATACCCGGGTCTCGCGTAGCGCGTAGCAATAGAAGACGCGTGCGGGGAGGGGGGTGGCTGGGCGGGGCG